CTGATAAATTCATTACATTCTCTTGAAGAAAAGCCAAGGTCTATGTGTCCTTGTTAAGTGCCTTCCTTCTGTGAAGCAGAAACAGCCCTGGCCTCTGCGGAGCCCCTCCTCCTGGCGGCTCCAGGCCTAGCTCATTAAACTTCAGGGGGTGGGCCCCACTTCTTCCTCTGGGCTCAGCCAGGGAGGCTGCTGTGGATGGCCTTGGAGGCTCTGGGAGGGCAGTGCCTACCTCATGGGGTCTCTGCTGCCCCGACTTTTGCCAAACCATCTGTTTTAGCTGATTTTTGTCTGTTCTTAATAGTAAGGAAAAAATATTAGAGCTCAAAATGGTCGAAAGCATGACCTTTTGCTGGAAGGGAGTGACCATCAGCAATCCGCATCAACACCCATCAGTGAACATTGATAATATCCCCTCTCTCTTCTAACCCCAATGTTAGTGCATCAGGCTGCATACACAGGGAAGAAAACACAATCATCAAAGTTCACAACTGTTTTTGCACTCTTAAAGGATTAGAACAGCTTTAAGAGCATAGTAATTTTAGGCCTGGTTTACAATGTTTGCTAAGATACTGTTATTGTCCTTTTTGGCCTCTGCTACTAAGTAAAGAAAAAAGTAACTTGAAATTGAAAAAAAAAATACACTCCAAGTGTATATTTCTGATTACAAATAGCTATACAGCAAATCGAAAAAAATAGGCTTGACTACTTTCTAGTATTCGTTGTCTCTTAGTGAGTGTCTTAGTCATCTTTTTCATTGCTGTGACTAAAAGACCTGAGCAGCACAATTGTAGGGGAGGAGAAGTTTACCTGAGGGGTCCCAGTTTCAGGTCGCAGTCCACAGAAGGCTGGCTCCATTCCTCGGGGCTCGAGGTGAGGCAGAACGTCATGGCAGAAGAGTGTGGCAGAGGGAGGCAGCTCACCTGGTGATCAGGAAGCAGAGAGAGATTCCACTCGACAGGTACAACGTATGTACCCACAAAGGCACGCCCCCAATGCCCACCTGCTCCAGCCACCCCTACCCACCTTCAGTTTCCCTCAGTCAATACCATCAGGGGATTAATGCACTGATTGGGTTAAGCTCTCACAACCCAAGCATTTCTCCTCTAAACCTTCTTGCATTGTCTCACACGTGAGCTTTTGGGGGACACCTCACATCCAAACCATAACAGTGAGCATCAATTGCCACAAATGTGGAGGTGTGGAGCAATGTGTATGTATCACCTCCATTTCTGTGGATCAGGAGCCAGGGACAGCTTAGCAGATCCTCTACTCTGGGCCTCCTAAGGCTGTAATCAAATTGTTAGGGGGCTGAGGGAGCTGCCCTGGGGAAGAATCCACTTCCGTACTAACTCATTCACTGTCTTGCAGTAGGACTAATGTCCCTGGCTTCTTGCTGGGTGTCAGCTTCAAACAGAGCCTCCCCCACCCAGCTTCTCGCCATGTGGACCTCCTAGCGTGTCCACCTACTTCTTTAAAACCAGCTGGGGAGAGGGTTTCTATCACCCACAAGACAGAGTCTATACCCGTGGTCCGTGGGATGGTTCCACTCATAACTTCCTGACTTTATGACAGCGGGAAAACCTTCACTAGAAGCAGCACCTTCAGGTTTGCATTTTGACTGTTTCCTGAGCCAGTGACACACAGCCCAGTCCTTTCTGGTGATGCTGGGCATTATCCACAGCTCCCCTCAGCCACAGGGTCAAAGGGTGAACAACCGGAACCGTGCAGGGGGCTGGGTCGCTAAGCAGTGATGTTCAGGAGGTCAGGGATGTTAGGTCAGTGCATTTTTAACTTAAAACTTCCGATGGGTTGATTGGGGCGGAACCCCACTGTAAGTCAAGGAGCAGCTGCAAAATAATATATAATCCCAGGAGTGACATGTTACCTGTGGACATTTGATCAGTCAGAAGAAAGCCACAGCTTCCACCCAAACCCAAGGGAAGAGACAACAGGGATGTGGACATCGGCAGGAAAGAGCATGCGCAGGCATGGAGAGTCCTGTGCTGTCCTCCCTTTGCATCGCATGATTCCGGGTAGCGTGAGGAGGAGGTGAGCCCGCCTATTCCAGCGTCCAAGACAACTGGCTCTGAATGGAGCCCCTTAGGCCACACTTCCTGAGATTGGGAGGAGAACTCACTGGAGAATGTAGTTTGAGTTCTGTGAGTCCTTTGCTAAGAAAAGTATTTAAACTAGGAAATATCTGGATATGCTTAAGAACATTGTCCTGGCACAGCCTCAGTCTAAGTGGGATATTTTGTTTTTGTTTTTTTCCAAGGGTTCAGTAAAAGTATTTGCATAGTATTTAAGATGGCTAATTAACTCAAAAGACCACCTGGTGGGATAAAACTTTGACACGGGGAGAGATGCTATTTCAGCTAAGTGATTGGAACAGGTGCTACGTGAATACACGGCAAATTCCAATGAACCAAGATGCGTAGGGTCCTAGCAGTGATGAGGGACTTGACCACAGTCACAGAGTGAAGAGCTCAGGATTTGGTCTGCATGTGTTAGAGGACAGGAGGCTTGCCTTTCTGCTGTCGTCAGCAGGCTCCTCCTCCATTCCTTGCATGACTGTG